TTCCGATCCCCCCAAAACCCCAAAACCCCATGAAGCAATGCTATAGGTGATGAATTAGAATTAAATGTAAATAATAAAAATGAAACAATTATTAAGAGCCTTTAATAAACATCAAATTATTTTCAATAGAGTTCAATACTCTTAGCAACTATTGCCAGTCCAAATGATGGCATTTGCTAAGAAGTTTAAATGGGATGGAACTCCTTGGATCGATGAAAACGATCCAAGAGCAGCCGAATATCGCAAGGCTAAAGAGAGATTTTTGGAGAGAGAGAGATAGCTTCAAGACACTTTATCTGCTGAAGATAAAAAGTATTATGAAGCCCACAGACTAGCCTTCCATAAATTAGTGGAAGACTCTCTTAAGAATCGTTAGAACTGGTGGATGAGATTGTAGGAGATGACTGAGGACCAGATGGATATCCTTCCAGCTGAGTATATCAAGAAATTTGGTTCATTTGTCATGAAAATTGAGGAAATGCAATAGGAGAAATAACTTGAAGATAATTAAATGAATGTGGAGAATTACAGTCAAGTCAAGAATTTAGCAAAGTTGCAAACAAATGAAGAAAAACAAGCCATTGAGGATAAAAATTAAGTTGCTAGGGAAGACCTAAAGGGCGACAGAATATATCAGTATGCCAAGGATAATTATTTCATGAGATAGACTCGTGTTGACTTGAGTAAGATAAGCTATAATCATGAATAGTTCCGTGAATACACTGACCTATATGAGAAAGCATCATAAAAAGACAGAGAGGACTTGAAGTACTTTTACAAGATGGTGAAGTATTGTCAAACATATCCAAACAGCAGAGATAGTGCTGCAGTAAATTTTGCTAAAAAGGTTAACATGGACTTGATATAAGTTCCAGAGGAATTCAAGGATGTGACTATTGATGATTTAGAAATCAGGAGAGACAGAAGAGCAAGAAGAACAGTAATCAGAAATAGAACTAGCAGAGATTTATCTAAGTACGATGCTTGGCTCAACTACGACAGATAACTAATGAAGACTGCAGGTAAAATGACTTGCATCAGAAAAATAATGCTATCACCAGCTTTGTTGGTCAAAGCCTTTGGACAACCACATAGATCAAGAACTGCTTATGATGGTACAGGTGAATATGATTTTGAGGATAACAATCTTGATATCTTTAACATTCATGATTACAGAAAGACTGAAATGTATCATGGACTTCCTCGTGATGACGAATACTATGTGAAGGAGCTTAAGAAGCCTCCTCATAAAAGAGAGAAGAAGTGGCCAACAATAGAAGAATTCTGGGCTTCAACTGAGCCATAAGAGTTCAGACTTCACTGTTCGCATCATGGTGACTTCCGCAAGTTCAGAGTGTGGCTCAAGAAGACACTAGAAGAAGTAGCTGAAAAGGAACTATCATATGAAGATGAAGTAATGCCCAAATTCAAAAATGAATTCGATCTCTGTTTAGGAGACTACAATGAGAAAGGTGTGGTAAATAAAAACTTTGCAGTGGTAAACATGGATTTCACTTACTTTATGAAGGAGGATGAGCTTAAGAAATACTCATAAGAGCTATTGCCAGAGTAAATCACCTACCCTAAATACTTCGATTCTTCCAAGGCTGAAAGGATATATATAACTCAAGAAGAAATATTAAGAAGAGTGGAAGAGGAGCAAGAGAAAATGAAGAATATTTGAATAGTACATAATGCATGCATAGAATAATAATTAATAACACCCTACACTTATTCTAACTTTGTAATCTTATTAATACACCTTTTATGTTAGTATTATGTTATATATTAGTATTTATAGCTAAATAAGAATAATAAATTGACAGAAGGAAGTATTTATAGGAATACCTAAAAGCATCATATTAATTCTTTACCATTACTTCGTCTATCTAAAAAGAGTAAAGGGACTTACTCAAACTTCTGCTCGCTTCATTTCCTTTCTTCATGCTATTGAGTTGATTGAGAGGCTGTGCTTTATTGAGTAGCTAATGAAGCTTGAACACCAAGTCCTCCTATAACAGGTGGTTGATACATTGGCATGTACATAAAAGGCTGGGCATTATTGAGTCCTTAGGGTTGTCCGATTGTGCTATTATACATAGGTTGAGTCATAGCGAATTGGAATCCTGGAGCTTGCATCAATGGATTTTATTGTTGAGGTAATCCTTATGCTTGAGAAAATTGAGCAGCCCATTGCTATTAGATCAATAGCTATTGCTGCATTTGCTGAATCATCTGCTATTGAAGGTTCATTTAGTGAATGAGGAAGAGCTATTACTCCTTGGATAAATATTGTTGGCTCAAATCTTGTTGCCCTAGGCTTGAGTCTTAAGTTTGACCATATTGCTAAGAGGACGTGACATTTGAAGCTGTTTGTTGAGTTTGTGTAGGAAGATAGTTCATTTGCTAGTGATGTGCGGTATGTAATGGTTATGAAACTTAAACTTGAGCAGTTGAGTTTACTTATAGATTTTAGAGTTATTAGGTAACATTTACTCTCTCCTGCTCTTGATGATTATGCTTTTGTGGAGTTTGAGTCTTTGATGGTGTAAATGAATCTAACTAGTCTTTTCCAGCATTAGCAGCCTTTCTAAGTAGATCATTGGTATCTTCTTGATCTGAATCAACCTCTGCCTGCTTGTGAGCTTATTCCTCTGGTTCTTCCTCAACATCATCCTATTAGTTGGCTTGCACTGAATGATGAGTTTAGTGATTATTTTCCTAATGGTTTTAGTAATTTTCTTCTTTGTGATTTTGAGACTGATGTTAGTTGTTAGCAACCTAGTCTAATTAGGATTCATCTTGCTGGATATGCTCTTCTGGTTTAGCTTTTGGTTGATATCTAGGCTTAGCTTGATACTGAGCCTTACCTCCTCTTTAACCTCTGGCTTGGTATCTTCCACCTCTAGCTGGTCTAGCCTCAGTCTGCTCCTATTCTGGCTGTTAACTTGGTGACACTTCTTATCCTTCCTCAGTTAGACCCTTCTTTTTGAAAACGAGAGTCTTTGATCCTTGTTTAAGAGCATAAGTATTTTAGGTTGTTTGAGTTTGAGGTTATGTCTTTTGTTTTTCCTCCAACTCAGCTCTGCGTCTTTCTCTTTCCTCCTCGAATTTCTTCTTTCTCTCAAGATAGGCTAGACGCTTCTCCTCCCTTTCTACTTTACGGCGTTCTCTCTCCTCCTATATTTACTTTAGTCTCTCCTCCTATCTCTTTTTCCTCTCAGCTTCTAGCAATTTCTTTCTTCTATCTTGTGCTTTCTGTTCCTTAGTCTGAGTCTAATGCCATTCGTAGGCAGGAATACCCTTGTATTTTTCTTCTATCTCATAAACTTTCAAATACTCATCGATCTTCTCCTCCTCAAAGTCAAAATCAATGCAAATCTTATGCACATCTTCAGCCTATAAAAATTATTAAGTCCTGAATCAGATATTATGTTTTCGGGATAATCTAGAATGTTCCCGCAAAATCTAAATCAAATGATATTACCTTGAACACTGGTGCAGCATTCTTATACTAGTATTGCTTTTGCTAAATGAACTTCTTTTGATCATCAGTAAGCTGCTCATCATCAGACTCCTCAACTGGCTCCTCATCAGTGTAATACTCATCTTCTTATTGTTGTTACTATCTGCTTTGTGTCGCGTAGTGGTCATCTTTGTAGTAATTGTTACCACCTCTAGTTCCTTGATATTCATTATTATAGTTAGATGCACCATTGTCATAGTTTCCCTATCTATTATTGTTATAGTTGTTGTATCTTCTATCAGTATAACTTCTATCGTAGTCAACTTGCTTTCTATCGTTGTAATATCCTCCTCTGCGGTCATAGTTCTAATTGTAGCCGCGAGTTTTATATCCTTCTTGGTAGTTTGATTAATAGCTTTGTGTTTGATTTTGAGTTGTAGACATTTTAAATTTCAAATTGAAATAATAATAATACAATGTAGGATTATAGATTATTAAGTATTATGCTTTAAAGAGCGAATAATATTCTGAGATTAATTCATTCAAAATGTTATATGATCTTTAAACTGAACTATTAATTTAAATTTTAAATTATAAGCATTTCAGATAAGTAAAATGAGACCTAGCTCTATTTTAGATGACTACATTTCATCCTTCGAAAGGTAGGCCGCAATTCCATTTGGCTGATTTTAATTAAGTATGATATAGTTCTATTTTGATGTCAAGTGTCAAGCCTACTAGAGATAATAATAAATCAATGAGATCTTTTGACTGACAGATGAATCACTCTATCTCGCACATTTTTGAAGACAAATATCAAAAAAGTAAAAAGTTCAATCTCGATGATATCCCAACTAAAGGTAAGATTTGAAACATTTAACTTTCATAGAGAATAGCTACAAAACTTCACCGCTAAAAGAGTATGACTTAGGTCTAGACTAAGGCTCTAAGCTTTTGAATTTCAAAGAATTCTACCAAAATTCAAAGCTTAATCTCCCCAGCACTAAAAGCTCTAAATCAACCGGTATGGTATTCACCAGATCAAAATCATCATTTGACAAAGATCGGGGAAGTCTGTTGGGAGTAGGCACTAAGAACAGGCTAAAAGAGAAACTTCTTGACATTAAACCTCTAATAAACTATAATATTAATGAATATTTGCCAAGAGATAATCTTAAAAATTCAAGGCATTCCCTCAATACTAGCAATCTATTAGCAAATTCAATAATCAATGTAAACAGCATTAATCACAGTATTCCTATAAATAATAATTTGATTTAAAGCCAAATTACTACAAAGAATGTTTTTTAAAGCAATGGACTTCAATAGCAAGTGAATCTAAGTCCCAATCCGATATTTTAAAGCCATTAATAATAGAATCAACCATGCATGTAGTGCTAGTGTGGAAGTGGTAGTGGTATTTTGAGCAATGTGAGCAGTGCTAATTAGTTTTAGAGATAATTTTCTTAATAGTAAATGATGCAAACTTAGAGAAGCAACTGCAGCTGCTAATATAGTCAATCTAGCGCTTGCCATAGTTCCTATGCCTCTCCTATTAGTAGCTAATCGAAGAATCACTTTCATCACAATCATACTAATTCGAGACAAAACTTTAATCAAATTAACAACTAGAACATAAATCTACAAAATCTTAATCCCATGTCTTAACTGCCTTAGACAATTAAGAACAATTACTTAGGTAATTAAAACAATGGATTTCAAGGGGCAAATACCTAATTGTAATTTCTTAAGCAAAATTTGAACATGACATCTTCCAATGAAAACACACCTTTTAAAAATAATCTGAATATCTTGAATTAACAGTAGTAAAATTACAACTAGCATCAAATAATGCTAAACTAAATTCCATCACTCAATATCAATAAAAGTCCAGGATAAAATAAGGAAAATAGCTTTGCTATGCAAAATAAAAGCAGCCATAATATCTCTGCCTCATTCCTTAAAACTAATGAGAAGACTTCATAAAATGTCGGAGGAGGAGGATACAATACTGATGATTTGCTAAGAGATAGTGAAAGTGAAGTAGAGGTTGGTAATAATATCCAGGATGCTCATTAAAATTTCCTATAAGGGTTTTAAAACTACCTTAAAATATCTTAGCCTCAAAATGCAGATTAGGATAGAGCATAAAAGGAACTGCTAGCTATGCAAATCATTTAGGGTAATTTGAATTTCACTCCATAATAATAAATATTCCAAAATCTCACAGGCAGAGGTTAAAACACTAACTTTAGCAGTAATCTGAATGAATCATAACTTAAAACAGTAAAGCAAAGTTAAATTAATCCTGGAGGACTCACTCTGGATGCTTTGTAAATATCAAATATTAATTAAACTTCTCCTATGAGGACACCATAGAGTTAATTTGATATAAACCTTGCCAGTTAATTTGAAACAAATATCAATCTTTATCATAATTAAGAAGCTAGCAATCAAAATAATTAACATGCCAAATTCAATAATAATTTAAGCAACAATAACAATGTACTTCATTCTTTGAATCCATAACGACATCCATAATAATTTAACTAGATGAATTAAATGCAATAGCAGCAATACAATTTAAACAATTAATAACAGTAATTTCAGTAGTAAGTGCATTAGCAAAACTAGCTTTTGCCTGTAAACCATCTATAGATCCTTTAATAATAGTACTAGTCACCTTGCTTTAATTCTTTTGAAGACTCAAGTCTGAATATGTTCGGGAGTAACCCCCAAGCAAACAAAAGTTAATAAACTTAAATCTAAGGATAGTAACTTGTAAAATAGAATTCATTAAGCTAAAAAACTGTTAATGAACAATTAACAGGTTAAAATAAGTTATTTAACTACTAGCTTTAGTCCTAAAATGAAGCTTAAAATTATGAATTAAATCAGTAATAGATGCAGGACAACTTCAACTTAATAAATCAAAGTTACTAGACAAATTAGAATGACAACTTTGAGCAAATTTAACTAACTAATGCAATAAATATGAACTATTTATCTGTTTAGTAACAATAGCAGCAACAAAACAATCAGGTAAAGTACAAGCAATAGAAAAATAAAGATAAACCTAAGAGGAAGAAATCCTTGAATAAAAAGCTGCTGAAAAAGACTTATGATGAGGAGGATTACTCTCACAGAAAATAGTAGAGCAGCTTAATTTCCGAAGACGAATCCTTTGATGAAAGTGATAGAGGTGAAAGTTCAGCAGTATCTGTAAACAACTCACTAAAGTATGCGAGTTTAATGGATGGCAATCAAAGATCAAATATGAATATTATAGAATAGTAAAAATCTGATCACAAAAATGATCAATCATTAATAAGAGTTCTTAAAGAAATGAATATTCAAGCATAAGATATTGACATGAATTAGTAGATGCAAATGAACTCATATCTTCAATAAGATGGTGATAGTTTCATGGATAAAAGTGATTTATAAGTGCAATCAGAGAAATAAAAGCAAGATGCCTCTTGTTAATATGAACCTTTAAGTTAAAATCCTAACTAATAAAACCAAAGGAAGCAACAGTTACTACCACCATAATAAAAAAGAGCTGCCTCTCAGAATAAGTTTTAATAACCCTAAGTAATTCCTATAAAATCAGTAGGATGTTCAATGCCTTCATCTAAAAATTCAACAATGAATAATAACGGTACTCATCATCATTTTTAGAGTCATAATCCATCACAGGACTTGGAAGACTACTAATTTCACATTGACGATGAAAGCATATAGCACTAATAGCTTTCAATAGGTGGTGGTAATTCTTGTGGTACAACTAGTAATGGAAAAATAAACATTTTAACTTAGCAAAACATCAATTAAGCCAATCATTTCTCTTAGCCAAGCATACTCTCACCATATACTCCTAATGCTAATCACTATAATAACTTTGATCATTTCAAAAGTCATTGTTCTGAAGTTATTATTAGAGGTAGTTCTGAAACAGATATTTCAAACAAGATAGCAGCAATGAAGCTTATGAAGGGTAATAATGACTCTACATCATAGCATTTCTAATCTTAAAATATGAACTAGCAAAACACTTCACATTAGATTTCTGGTAGTTAATCTATTGTAAACATTGGCCCTCATACCAGATCATAATTTACTTCGATTGAAACTCATAATCAAAGTCCCACTAAAAACACAAAGAAAAGAATTTAAGAGTTGTTTGAAAATAATGTCAGTAAAATCATACATTCAAGAAATGATTTGCAAACTGAGAGTAGTTATGAAGCAAATGACAGATTCAATGAAAATATGTAGTTGCTAGCTGGTGATACCTTTATGAAAAATCAGAAAATGATAATGGAGGGTAAGGACTCGCATCAGAGATATAAGATGGAGCCTAATAGGTATTAAACTAAGTAAGATGTGGAGATTTATCATGTAGATGAGTATAAAACTCTAGAGACTCAAGAAAATTAGAAGTATGATGAGTATTAAACTCAGTAAACAACAGAAGCAGCTTAATTACCTGAGGATAATTTCAATTCTACAATAAGATTAAATGATATCCCAACAATGAATTCTGCTTAAAAATCTCCAGCAATAAATGTGCAAAGACCTCCAATGTATCAAAATCACAATCCAATACATTTTAATCCCACGTTTCAGCAAAATACTTCGTCCTCTTATCAAAATCCCTATCTTAACAATACAGGCTCAACTGCTGGATTCCCTTAAGTTCAAGGTTACTAGTTTTCTTAATAGACTGGAAGAAAATCAAATTGCAATTCTTCATTTCACTCATAAAATATCAAGACATCAAATTCTTAGACATCACTCTCAATAACTAATAGATCCTAATATCATAATTAAAGCCACACTGAGAGTAAATCTCAACAGATTAAGAAAAAGAATGTAATTGATCAAATTATATTTCTTCAAAGACATATCAAATAGTTCTTAGCTAAGAGAAGGTAATCTTGTGAAAATGAGATCAATGCCTTCTAATAAGAATAAGAGAATCATTTAGGAGGATTTTTCGGCGATTCAACAATTTAAAAGCCAGTTGAGGAAAGTCTTAGTAATATTAGCGCTCAGCTTTTGAACTCATTGAAATAATCATTAGGTGGAAGTAATGTAGTAAGACATCATAAGCCCAACGATTAAAGCTATCAAAAGAATATTTTAGAAAGTCTGAATCTCACAACAGGCAATACATTTATCAAGGAAACTAGATAGTTCGGTTAAGGGCAATTGAAAGATCGAACTTAATTCTTAGGAAATTCTTCTGCCTTAGTGCTCTATTCGGGGAGTACTCATGATAACAGATAAAATCCTTTTCTTAATGCAGGAATGATGAATATGAGAATTAGTGATTAGAATTTTCTAGGAAATAATAATATAGATTCATAGTAATCATATGGAAAGCCACCTCTCTACGAGTATGAATAGGCTTAAAGAGACTAAAATATGATGCAGTAAATGTCTCCCTAAAACACTAGTTTACTCAATATGACTGAAGAATCAAACTCTGGCATTTTTAAGCTAACTCCATTAGCAAGTTAAAACGTTACTCAAAAAACTGGTTAAATTCAAGCTTATAATTAGACATCTTAGATGAATGAGAGGACCACAGAGAGTAACAATCTAAACTATTCATGCTCAGAAATGGATTCAGAGTGGTGCAATAACTTCTAAAAAGACAATGCTATTAGTCCAATGAGTATTAATACGACATCAAGTAAAATAAGAAATCTAAATGGCACTAAATCTGGGCAAAGAATTCCTGTTTCAGTTCACAATAACCACATCAACAATATTCAAAATAATATAATGTTCCAAAGAAGCGGAAGCGTACAAAGTGAGCAAATTTAAGGAGTTAATGGTGCTTGTTTTAACAATCAGAAATCAACTTAGAAAATTAAAATAGAAGATAACATTCAGAGTCCCTTGTCAATAAGTTAAATTCCATCTACTAGGTCAGCAGCCAATATCATACCAACAAAACATGAAAAGATGCTTAATATGTTGAAGAGTGAGGATTATGGAGCTGGAGACTAGATTGTAGTTCAAATTCAAGATTCAAAAGCTGGTTTGATGAACCCCTAGGTATTAAAATCTAATACTAAACTTCAAAATTGTTAATTACTCTAGCAAAGAGAGCTAAGGCCTTAATCCATGTCCCTTGACTCGACTGATAATAACATGTCTTCAGCATAGAGTACAGGAGTATCATATGATTGGAGGCTTTTGAAACCAACTAGAGAAAGTGATTTATGCAATTTACTATCAACTCTCCTCAATTAGACAAATTAATAGCCACAACCTATAAGTTCATATGCTTGATTAATAAATAATTGATTCTTAATAATTAAATTAGAATTTAATACAATATTTATAACTTTCTCTTTTTCTAATGGATCTTCATCATTTTTTAATTTTCTTTGAAGATGACTTTGAAGAGTCATAAATTTTTTGACTATCATTTAGACTCTAATAAGTCTTATCTTATAGAACACTATTTTCATTCATCAAATCCTCCATTTCTTCCATATCCTCCTTCATTCTCTTTTCTCTTTCCAGCATGTCAATTTTTTGCAGCAGCTTCTTGACCTGCTTGTCCTTATCTCTAACTTTTCTTTCCAGGCCTTCCTCTATTTTCTCAACCTGCACAGTCATCATTTGCAGAGACTCTTTTAAGCTCAGACATTCTTCTTCAAGCTACTCTTCTCTTGTCACTTTATCATTTAGCTTCTTTTCCAATTTATTAAACAATTCCACAAGTTTCTTATTCTAGTCTTTGCTGTTATCTCTTTCTAGCTTTACTTTCTCAAGCTAATCATTAACCGCATCTAGTTATTTCTAAAGATTTTCACTCTTAACTTTATAGTCATTAACCACACTTTTATCTAGCTTATCCTTTTCTCTCAATTATTCTTACAAGTTTTCAATAATTTATATCATTTTGTTATTATCCTCTTTTATTTTTGAATTCTCCTTCTCTAAGGTCTGAATTTTCTAATACATTTTTTGTAGATATTACTCTTATTTGTGTACTAGTTATTAATAGTTCTCATTCTATTACTATAAATTGTTTATAGACTACTAATGAGAGGGATTTTAAAGCATGTCATAGTACTATTACTCATAATTATCTAAGATTTGTATGCTTTTAAGCAATTATTACCTCTCTTTTTCTCTATAATAGAATTCATTAGAAAAATGAACTTATATATATACCTAAAGGACTAATTTGATTTCATTGACAATTTTAGCAATGTTCTTGCTTCCTTTAGCTAAGTTCTGCATATGATCAACTCATTCTGATAATTACTTTGGTATTATTCCTCAATCATTTATAGAAATTTAAAAGCAAAATTCAATTTATCAAATTTTAAATAGTCTAAGCGAAAATATACAATTTAGGACTATGGGGTTTTGGGGTTTTGGGGTTTTGGGG